TTTTATGCGTTTTGAAGCGCGCGCAATCTGATGTCACTCAGCTCGAGCGCGTAGCTTTGGTTAATGCATAGACGCCATTTTACCGACCTAGTCACGCACCGAGTGCGCGAGAGCGTCACGCGCTGGCACATTCAGGGCAACAATGGATGTCTTCACCCTTAGACAGACAGACATGTAGGCACCCTACTCTGTGGATGCACTCATCGCCCCCTAGCGGGCGTTAGCACCGCTCTTAGAGCGCCTTGTGGCTTCTCTCACCAAGCATGAAGCCCGCACGGTGACGCCACAAAGGAACGCGTCTAGGGTGATTCCACGTCAATTCATGCAATGATGGTCCGGGTCATATTTTAGATATTTTTGTTAAAAATATATATGAAAGCCATTTTTTTGGGAGGAACATTCAGCTAGATATGAACGCCGTAACAATTTTTTTCGCTGAGATATAAAATAGAGAAGCTTGGGGCGTGGAAATTGAGAAGATTTCACAATGCTACTTTGCACAGTCGTCATTTTCTTATCGAACTTTTCACGGCACCATAACTTTTTTAATAGGTTTTGCAAAGGTTATGCAACACATGCACAAAAAATTAAAAATATCCATAAAATATTTTAATGCAAACAAAAATATCAAACATGGCACAAAAACCCGTTTAAGAGACATATTCACAATTTTTTTGCAAATAAACCATCTTTTATAATACTTCACAAAACATATCAAAATGCGCGTATTTAAATATTCTTTACGAATATATAAAGATAATATGCCCACCCTTAAACATATTTTTGTTATCAACGCGGAAATTCGGCTGATTTCTCAAAATGTGGCAAGATTGGGTGTCGATATTTAAAAAACTCCATCTTTTATTTTCTTTAAACTCCCCTTGGCACTTTACAGTGACTTGAACTAACCTGTGATGGCAAAAGATTGAGTAACATATGACCTCCAAGCGGGAAAAGCTACGACAAACCTTCACTCGGAGCGAGCCGACGTCTTCGTCACAGCGGCTTTGCCGCACAGCACCAAACGTTTTGAGCGTTAGTTATGGCATGTATTTTATATTATTAAAATTCTTTTTTTCATAAGGGCTGAGTATTAGTGACGCGAAAATGGACTTTGAGGTGGAATACCATTAATTAGCTTACAATTCGCAGGAACAAAACGGCCCCACTGTGCGAATTCGCTAACTATGCATAGATAAGCTTAAAACTCTCAGTTATGCGAGTGGCCATGTATACATCCGGATTCTCGGCATATGATGACTTCCACAGATGAGAAGCCTGGATTCCTCTCACAAGTTTTATGATGGTCCACTTTGCTTGCTTTACCGCACGAAACTCTCGAACCCGTTCCACAGACAGGTGGAACATGCAGACATTTGTTACTTTTTTACGTAGCACTTCCACAAAGTCTTTAGCGGTGGCAATCGTTGAGTTGAGCGAAGCTCTCAACTTGGTGAGCGTTGGTTCTTCCACCTACTTTATCACAAGCGCTTTCTCCGTGTCCAGTGGCTGAAAAGATCCATCTTGCCGAAGAGTGCGGCTTCCGAGACAATTTGTGGAATTGGAAGCGATTCTTGAAATGCGCCGCCGCTCCGTCTGATACAAAAATTATTTAAAAAAAGACTGGGAAATGAACATGAACATACTCTTTTATGGCCTATGTGGCTAGTAGAGCGTGAGCTGTGTCAGGTGTCGTGTACCATCGGTGACAACGGCAAAGCTTTGCGTGCCTTGCGTGGACGTAACCACACTTGTGGAGAGAGACACTTGAGTTTTTTTTCAATGAAAACTCTGCACTTCGCTTGGAAAGGGTACTGTCCATTTTTCCGCAAAATCGAAGTGGAACATCACTGCATTGGGTGGTAAGGCGGTTCTTGTGTCATGTATCAGGCTTCGTTCAAGGTCAAGGATGTAAGAATGCCTCATACACTTTTCGCTCTCCTATTGCCGCAGGAAGGCAGAAGTGTCCATAACCTTTTTGACGAGTTCGCCAGCGTCCCATAACGCGAAACAGATCTCTTCGTCTTCATCGAGATGAAGGGACTGCAGCGAGATGCTCTGCGTTTTTGTGCACTTTTCGCAACGGCGCAGAAAGCAATCGTTCTTTGGAGGGCAGAAGAGGTAGATGCGCTTGAGGTCGTCTTCAGTAAATGTCTTCTTTGGGGCATTTGTTATTGCCGTTAAAAGCAACTGAAAATTGACGCAATATATGCATGCGCACAACTCGTGCTCGGGACTTTTTTTTTACCCATTTTGGTCGTAGGGAATAAAATTTGGAGATGCCTAGTTCGGGTTGGGGATGGTCCTTCCTAAACAGCTGGTAAGCTTCCTTAATAGAGGGGGTCATAAACCTTTTTACGACTTTGAACATGTCGTTGATCATGGATTTGACGACGTCCTTTTTGTCGGGGCTTTGAACAGAGCATGCGAGGTCGTCGCGTGTGTAGTACTCAATTGCAAGCCCCACGTCTTCGGCCTTCGCCTTTTTCCCCATGTAGGGATCAGGGGTTGCCCAAACACCACCTTTGCGCTTCAGTTTTCATGTTTCATCAATCATGTAGGCAGTCGCACCGGACACCAGACGCAATATTGTTTTCTTCAGGATGATTGGTGGCAGAAGCACGTACAATCGCTTGCGTTCCTGGTGGGAACTACATGCCTTCAGCACTTCGCAAAACGCGTCAAACCACTCTGCGCAGTGCTCACAACTGTCTTCGAGTTCGAGAGTTTCGTGCGGTGAAGCAAGCAAAGTGGACCACCGTAAAACCTGTCAAAGCAATCCAGGAAACTCATCTGTGAAAGTCATCATATGCCGAGAGGCCAGATGTATACATGGCCATTCGCACAACTGAGAGTTTTAAGCTTATCTATGATGCATAGGTAGCGAATTTGCAGAGTGGGGCCGTTTTATTCCTGTGAATCGTAAGCTAATTAATGGTATTCCAGCTCAAAGTTCCTTTTCACGTCACTAATACTCACCGCGTATAAAAAAATAATTTTAATAATATAAAATACATGCTATAACTAACGCCCAAACGTTTGGTGCTGTGCGGAAAAGCCGCTATAACGAAGACGTCGGCTCGCTCCGAGTGAAGGTTTGTCGTAGCTTTTCCCGCTTGGAGGTCATATGTTACTCGATCTTTTGCCATCACAGGTTAGTTCAAGTCACTGTAAAGTGCCAAGGGGAGTTTAAAAAAATAAAAGATGGAGTTTTTTAAATATCGACGCCCAATCTTGCCACATTTTGAGAAATCAGCCGAATTTCCGAGTTGATAACAAAAATATGCTTAAGGGTGGGGATATTATCTTTATATATTCGTAAAGAATTTTTAAATACGCGCATTTTGATATGTTTTGTGAAGTATTATGAAAAATTGTTTATTTGCAAAAAAAATTGTGAATATGTCTCTAAAACGCGTTTTTGTGCCATGTTTGATATTTTTGTTTGCATTGAAATATTTTATGGATATTTTTAATTTTTTATGTATGTGTTGTATAACCTTTGTAAAACCTATTAAAAAAGTTATGGTGCCGTGAAAGGTTCGATAAGGAAATGACGACCGTGCAAAATAGCATTGTGAAATCTTCTCAATTTCCACGCCTCAAGCTTCTCTATTATCTGCGAAAAAAATTGTTACGGCGTTCATATCTAGCTGAATGTTCCTCCCAAGAACATGGCTTTCATATATATTTTTAACAAAAATATCTAAATTATGACCCGGACCATCATTGCATGAACTGACGTGGAATCACCCTCTAGCGCTTTGCGGCCTCTTTCGTCAACCTTGAGCCTGTTTTTTCCCGTTCGGGGCGGGTCGGATATCCACCAATAGTTACGTCATCCGCAGGTCTTGTCTGCGATCACATAAACATTAAAGTGCACACGCTACGGTTATTGTACGTTGCGTCCGCCCGTGCTGATCTGAACGAGCATCGTACACACCGGCGTGCGGTCGCGGTATTTCTACGAGTATCGCGTTATGTACGTTAAAGACCCCAAGCTACTCTAGACATACACGCCATTTACAAACGAGTCCGCATTTGCTCACCGCAGGTGTGACCTGTACGGGTGCGGAGCGACCGCATCCGCGTCAAGTAACTTTTCTGGGCATGCGCCAGGTCGACAGCAGCGCCACCGCAGCCGCCTGACGTTTGAGCCAATGCTGGGGCTCAAGGAACGCAGGTTGTGGCGACCCATGGTGCCCTGTTAGCGCTCCATGGCCCATATGAGTGCGACGCTTACTTATCAGAACGCCGAAGGACAAATGGGGAAGCATGAAGTGTGGACGTGCGAGCCCACGCCCTGCGTTTCTTTTTGAGCCTTCACTGACCGTTGCAGTGGTGGTGCACCGGCAACATTTCTCCTCGACTGCGATGACACCAGACCTGCATAGGGACTGACGAACTTTACGCTCTTTAAAAGTACAACACAACGCAGAAGCGATACAATAAGAAGAGAGGAATTAAGCGTCCTCAGCCGTTGACATTCGACGTCGCTGCTTTCGCTTTGGCGTCCCGAACGTACAAAACAGATATCAACGGTCAACGTACTTGTTGGACGTTTTCAACCATGGCTAAAAGCGGTAAAACGACGAGCACAAAAGAGAAGACAAGCATAAGCTCCCGTGTTTGTCTTAGTTCCTCGCGCTGGTCTTTTTAGCGGCTTGAACTATGATTCAAAACAAATATGAGAGGCGACCTTGCATTGCCTAAACCAACTTACCTGCCGCCGTGGCAATCCCATTATGTGATAGCCGAACAACGGTGGTTACTGCGAAGCCAATGTCAACATGTCTTTCTATTTGCGCGGACAGAGGCCTAGCCTGCCTATCCCCCCCCCCCCCCCCCCCCCCGTCGCGTGATGGTGTGTTACTCGATGCTGCTGCGGTCACGTCGCTGAAACAATCGCACCTAAGCGACAGAAAAGAAAAAAAAAAACAAAAAAACGACGTGTTCGTTATTTAACGGCCCATTTTTGTAGCTATCAAAGGACGCGGCTAAGGCTGACTCAATCTCTCCGAAAAATGAAGTTCTTGATATTCGCCTATCTGCTGAGCGTTGTCTGGAGTCGGAAACCCGGTGAGTATTCTGAACGTATTTGATTTTTAGTCTAAAGAGCTCGGCTTAAAGTTTGGCAAAATACTTTTCAGAGGCTTTGTTCAGGCTGTGAGCCGTTAGAGGGTGTTTCTGTTTTTATGGATAGGTTTGATGCTTTCAAATGAACCGTATTTTACGTTAAGCTAAAAATTTGCGTACATTTCGGTAATACTTCTGAACCTGAAGTTAATTCGGGCAGTTGAGAATAAACCCTATCTACTATAGTTTCGTAATATTCACGTTTAATATTTCATGGTATTATTTGCGAAAATCTTGATAATTATACCGTAAGCAGGCGCGTGCGTTTGAGTAACCAGTCAGAAATCATAACTTTATATCAATATATAAACTGTGGACTGCTTTTTTCTGTGTTCCTTTTTAAAGTAATTTTTTGGGGAATATCAAGTTCACCGCCTTTATTTAATTTGGAAAAACTTCGGGCAGATGTGGTAATCCCGCTGATGTCCTGACATAGCTTAGTGGTCATTAGAAGTAAATACATTTCTGAACGTGATAGGTATTGGAAAAATATTATTTCACGCTTTATTTTTGTTTTGTATTGGTTTTCGACTTGAAATTAAACTTGAACACAAAACATTTGGTTTTTAACTTCTTTTTTTCTTAAGTAAGAGAAAAGCTATGCCTTCGCAAGGATTCTAAGTCCTCAACCAGTACTTTGACGATCGCAGAAACAGAATTGAAAAGAAAACAATATCTGAGCCGGATAAACTCAATTGCGAGGTGTCTTTACATCAAACTAGGGTGCCTCAATGTCCTTCTGTTTAGGGTGATGCCATCGTTTGTAGTACCCGATGCCGACAGCACGCGCTCACAGGCAAAATACAAAGAAATCGCAGGAAACAAAATGTCGCCGTAGCACAGTCAGCGCCACGAGCACGTGCAGGGACACGCTCTTTCACGCGCTTCAGAACAAAAAATAAAAATAAGCGTTCGAAACAAAATGGCCAGATGTCATCACCCCAAGCAAAGCGCACATGAAGGCACCCTACATCAAACAGCAATGGGAGAGCACGTGTATTAGCGCGCCGTCACAACAACTCTCAGATAAGTAGTTTTTCTTTTCAAGGGAGCACACTGATAGGCAGTAGTAATAGTATGCTGTTGAAAATGAACCTTCAGTTGGGAGTGCGCTTCTTCTCTCCTCCGTGTTGTTCCTGTTTACTCAGCGCTTTTCTTCCAAGCAATGTTCCAACTATGCCCTATTTATATCTAGTAAAAAAAAAACATTATTTTTAGATGGATGCGGGAGGCCCTCGATCCCACCTTTCATCGAGCCCGAAGACCGCATTTATGGCGGTAGGGTTGCTGTGCCGGGAAGCTGGCCTTGGCAAGCGCAGTTGCAACTGCAAGGACGCTTTCATGTTTGCGGCGGTTCCCTGATCAGCGATCAGCACGTTTTGACTGCTGCACACTGCGTCTGGTGAGGGGACATTGTAGAGTACTAAAACTATGCGGGGCGCAAGTTCGTCTGCTCCTTTTACAGGGGTTGCGGTGATGTCAGAACCAAAAGTCCTTATTGGCTGATTGAAAAAAAAAAAGAAAAAATAGTGGTTAGAGACCTCAGGGCATCTAACATTGAGGTCTACCCACTATTCTTTCAGTCAAAGCCAATCAGAACTCCGCTTCGTATTGACGTCGCCACAACTCCAGCGCAAGAAGCAGACGACTTGCTCTACGATTAGTCCCCGACAATGGAGGAAACGCTGTGTTTGGCTTATCATGTCTACAGTCCTTGCTTTACGATACTTGTGTCGGTGTCCTTATCAGCTAATTCATATATCTCATTGCCTACGCATTGACAAAAAATTATCATAACTCTGCACGCCCTAATGTTTTTTTTTTTGTTTTTTTGTTTTCTTTTAAGCACTTAGGGATTATTGGCGACTCCAGCGAACTCGACCGTAGCTAGCGGCTATAGTATAGAAAGATGTAGCTGCAGGTTCGCTCACCAGCATTCTTGAGCAAATCAAGGGCGGGTTGCTAAAATGGGCGTCTCAGCTGAGACTGGTTGAAGGAAAGCACTGCCACGGCCTCTCGATTAGGACCGCCCCCCCTGGGAGCGGCCAGCCGTATGCCCCACTCCTCCGGTGAGAGTGATAGTTCTACTATACCCCGCAGCGCCACCCGTGGCGCTCGTTATCGGCGAGAGATGAGCAGTCCGGCCGGCCCGGACCGGTCAAAGTCAAATTTGGGGGTTTTACGTGCCAAACCAACGACGGGCATCTGGCACGCCCCAGCGGAGGACTGAGGATTAATTTCGACCACCTGGGGATCTTTTGACGTGCAACCGAAAGCTCGGGTACACGGCGTCCTCTCCGCAATAAGCCTCCGTCAGATTGCGGGCACCTCGGCCGGGATTTGAACCCGCCACACGGGGATCCGTAGGCCGACGCTGTCGCCTCGGAGCCACCGAGGCGGCTGGCCCGGACCGGTGTGGCTATCTAGATTGTTTTTCGTGCAGAGGCAAGTCTCACTTGAAACGAGCCCCAGATTGCATGAATAATGTGACAAATCTGTGTAGAATAAAAGCAGACGATTCTTTAGACGAGGAGCTCACTGGCTCAAAAAAATCAGCTGCAGGCTGCGCGTTAGAACCACATTCAGTTGGCAGTATGAGCGAATTGTCGTTTTCTTGTTCCCGTAAGTGTTGTTCCATTTCTATTACCACTGAATATAAGAGTTATAGTTGGATATAGCTAGGCCGTATAAATTCCAGTTTAAAACGACATTCGAGTAGGCGCGAGCTCTGCCTAATATTCATCTGTGAAGGACAAAAAAAAAAAAAAAACTGATTCCTCGTGCATACCTTTAGCAATATAACCTTCATTGTTCACAAAGAGATCACGAAAGTCGTATAGTTCACAAGCGGACCACCTTTCGGGAAAAAGGCTTCTGCGAAAGCCTCAATAGATTTTTTAGAGAGCTTTCAGGTCATCAGCCCAGTTTGCTAAAAGAGGTCTGAGGAGCTTCCTGAGAAAGAGCTCGCAGAGCTCTTTGCTATGGAATAGATTGTTGGGCTAGTTGGTTTTGGAACTTGGAATACATTTTAGCGCTCAAGAAACAAGGACAAAGAGACGAGAAACAGACGGCAGGGTGCGCTACTAACACCACCCTTCTTAATCTCATCTGCCTCGACTATCTCCCTCACAGTATTTTCTTTGTGCCGTGGCAGAATCTTGCTCTTGGAAAGCAACGGCTCACACTTGCAGCTTTGGCAATGATCAGACAGACAGATTATCGGGACGGTCATCTGTCTGATCATTGTCAAAGCTGCAAGTGTGAGCCGTTGTTTTCCCAGAACAAGATTTTGGCACGGCACAAGGAAAAAACTGTGAGGGAGATAGTCGAGGCAGATTAGATTAAGAAGGGTGGTGCAGCATGTGTCAGCTTGGCCTCAATTGATCTACTGGACAAGGCGCGTGCGTTCCTCAATGACGCGGTCTGGCATCGGGTTGGCTAGTGGTGGAGCGAAATCACAAACTCAGATCGTATAAAAGTGTCGTTTCATGTAATAAAATCAGTTGTTAGTAGCGCACTGTGCTGTCTGTTTCTCGTCTCTTTGTCCTTGTTTTTTGAGCGCTAAAATGTATTCCAAGCTCTTCGCTGTGGTAGGGGTCTCTGCAGTTAGTGCACCACATCAGCGGGAAGTCCATAAGGTGTGGAAGCACAGCGCTCGAATTGACCTTGCAACTCCGTCCACAACGACGAATCTCTGCCCACTGTAGAGCCCTGTCAACAAATGTGCCGACGAGCTTGCACAGCCAGACAGCTTCAGGTCGTGGATAGCTGAGTACTCCTTCGTCAAGGCTAAACACGAGCTGATATGCTCCGTCACGTGATGCATTTCCCGTAAGTTGCAGCTTGCATTCAGGACACGTAAGCTGCAAAGTTTTGCGGGTTCTGCATATAACCCTTCCTTGTTTTCGCTCAGACATCTGTATTCTTTTGCTAGGTTGAAAGTTTCAGCTAATTACTTTAAAATTACTACATTTTCCACAAAATAAATATGGTCACCTTTTGTTCGCAAATGAAGGCCAAGTGGCCAGCCATGTAAGTCAGCGGTGCGAACTCAAGCTCGGAAGGGACTTCATTGTACTTCATCAAGTGCTGAATTTTCTAAGGCACACTAAGAGCTTCCTCCGGAAATGCAGTACTTCCTGTTTCACGAGTGGAGCTGGCAGGTTTCATCGCCGTGTGGCACTCAGAACTAGATGGCGCACTTCCACTTCTGGCAGCCCCCAAAAATGCCAACACAAACCACACCCGCGAGCAGAGGGTGACACTACGATACTTTCTCCGCGCAAAGCGGTGCAAAGGTTGGGGGAAAGCGAGTTTTGCGGCCTTCTGCAACCCCAGCAGCGCCTCGGTATCGGCGAAGCCAATGACGGGCAGATATTTTATCTGGGTCGCGGAGCAAGGGTGCGTTGGGCGCCTTCTCTAGCTTTCAGCTCAAAAAACCACTCACTGATGTGCAGCGCCCCCACGGCAGATGGAAGAAGCTCTCCTCTAACGCGCGCTCTTTGGTTTTCAGAAAAAATCGGCAGGCCGCACCAACAGGGGGGATCAAGCGGCCGTGGCACTGCCAAAGGCAACACGCGAGCTAAGCCGGAATCAAACAGCGTATTAAGACGGTCGCGCGCCCCAGCCTTTGCATTGCTTTCGTTCTTCCAGTTTCAGCTGAGAAGCTGTTCTACCAAGCCGGACTAAAGCCCCTCTATCCTGAGAAACGTTGCGCCATTCATTGTTGTGGAAATGCTGGTGACGCATGCAGCGGGCCACTTTCGGGACGAACGTAGAGTCTGAAATGTAGCTCAGGGCTGCGCTTTGCCGCCGTGATCTTCCCAATGACTGCACGTTGCACGTGCCACGGGCATCAACGCGCCTTGCGCTACTTTTGACATTAAGCCGACCTAAAGCCCCTCTGTCCTAAGTGGCGCCATTCATTGTTGTAGAAGTGCTCGAGGCACGTGCCGCGCGCCACTTTTGGGAAATTCATGGCGTCTGAAATCTATCTCACTGCTGCGCTTTGCCGCCATGATCTTCCCAAGGGCTGCACGTTGCACGTGCCTCGTGCATCAACGCACCTTGTGCTACTTTTGGTGTTAAGCCGGCCCAGAAATTCGGACCACCTGGCGGTCATTGTTTTCATTTTGCACCACGTGGCGGGCATTGTTTTCATTTGCAGTATGCGTATTATTTAGTAATATGTAGAGTCTCCAGTATTAAGAATAGTGCTGTAAATCCAGCAGGAAGAAACCGCACTTGCACATAGCAATAGATCGCTAACTCGGTGATAAAACTGGCAAGCTTTTTTTTTTTTTTTTTTTTTTTTTTTTGTTATTTCGCGCAAGAGCTAAAGTGCGCCTTAAGATATCGCAAGGTAAAATGCACAAGTAAAATGCCCCTCTGGTGCGCGTTCGAGCTTTCTCTGTAAAGGTGCTGATTTCGGTGGCTCGGTTTACAACGCTGGGTTTATTGTGAAAACCCTACACATGTTCGCATCGGCTCCCTTGTTTTTCAATTAGGGGAACACGGCCGGCAAACTTGAAGATTCACCTCGGTTCACACCGGCGCCAAAGACGAGAACCAGCTGAGCTTGTTGTTGGCGTCCATGAAATTTGCATCCATCCTGCTGCTCGTACCAGTCTCCAACCGGTAAGAAAACAAAGATGGCGGTAACTTCAATGACAGAACAAACACAATTCCTTTCCCGAAAACACTGTTAGAACGCTGCTTTGATAGATGGGTATTAAATTACAAATAACACTAGGACGAGGACAGACGTCTGTCCTCGTCCTAGCGCTATTCGTAATTTAATATGTATAACCAACTAGCCCGCCAGAATATTTTGATAGATGGGATTCATATCTCACACTAGAAATTCTGAAGTGCCCACATTTTCCCACAAAGCACTCGGGAGAACAACTGGCTGCTATCTAGCGAGCAGCTCAGCAAATGACGAGGCTGAATTTACATTTAAACCTAAAAACCTCTCGGCACTTTGGCACTGATCACAGTGAGAGGTCATACTCACTGCCAAAGCGAATACTACTTTTTAATGAGTTAGCCTTAAAACACTCTTTCTCCGGAAACCTCGGTAATGTTTTTCGTTTGTAAGCGCCAGGGAGACAGGGAGATGGAGGGGAGGCTGTGGTTCGTGCGAAACTCCCATTGCTCCGAAGCGCTGACGCCAGCACACGTCAACCCCTCCCACTCACTCCTGCGCCGTTAAACCGGCACACACCGCAGGGTCTTTGACAAAATGAGCCCTTTTTTTTCGTCAGTCACCCGCGCAGCTGGCTCTTAGCCTGACAGGAGGCGGCGCCACGCAACACCTTCTAGAGAAGAAAACTGTAGTGCTAAATAAGACGGCATGATCAGAGAAGGCCAAGCAGGACACAGATTGGAAACGAGGCTGCGTCAGAGCTCGGCTTCTAGTCAAGCTTGAGCCGAACGTTGACGGAATCGTTGTGTCCAATCTGTGCACAGGGTTGGCCTTCTCTGATGACGGCATTTCATTCAGCACTACGGCTTTGTTATCATAGAGGTGTTGCCGCGGCGCGGTAGAAGGGGGGGGGGGGGGGGGGGGGCGTGCTCATGTTTGCTCTGCCGTCGCCGGTTGCTCTTCGCTCTGGGTTTCCGTAGTAACGGTGCGTGGGCTGCAATCTGTTTGTGTGGTTAAAACGCTGGATGCGGTTCCCTCCACAAGTGATATCAATGCGGTTTCTTCCACGAGTTCTATGAATGTGCTTTGGTTTCGAGGAGAGATATGGATGACCTTATCAAAGGGTGTCGATGTACTCTAACAGGCAGAGTACAGATAGGGGGCCGAAAAAGATTCCATAAAGAATCATTGGTGGCTTTTTAGGGAATAAGTTAGCGAGACCTTTAAAAAACGCCACACACGTCCCCGTTTGGGAAATACTAACCATGAACCCGTAACGAGACCAAAGAAAGACATAAAAATATAGAGGTCGCAAAAGATAAAGCTAAAAGAAAGAATTGAAAGGTCTCTCCTAGCGTTTCTCAAAGGGGGACGTGTGGGACAATTCCAAAAGTCATGCTAACCCATTCCCAAAGTATCCACCAGTGGATTCTTTTGTAGCTTTTTTAAGACGTTTGCGTATTTTCAATTTTGTCATTCAGCAGCGTTTTCCGTAAATAACAGTGTTACGCTTTCCCAAGTGCTTTGCGCCAAAGTAGACGGTTCAGATATCTTACAGTGTGCGCTATTCTATTAAAAACATTCCTGACTAAAGTCGCTTGCACCATTAGAACTGCAATATAGGATCCGTGCCGGAATGACGTCACTTGGTCCCTCATTAGAAACGCACTGTTTTTGGATATCACCAAAAAATGAGCAACTGTCGATGCCTCTTTTCTTTTTTTTAAGATTCGCATCTAAGAAAATAGAGCTCCGCCTAATAAAATAATTCGCGTCGTCACCTTGGAGATTGAGCGAAGCGTTTGTTTAGAACAACAGCTGTTATTGGGAAGTTCCTCCCCGGGAAAATACGTGGTCATCCGCCACCAAAACTACCGTTGACGTCATCAACTACGTCATCAATCACGTGATAGCTTCGAGCTCCCACATCTTAAACTGCAAGCTGCACCAGACGCCACGGCGGCTGTAGTCGGCGTCACATTTATCGGCGCCTGAAAATTCGAGACTGGCCAATCCCCTCCGCCTCCGGTGCTCGCTTTTAAGGTTGGAGGGGAAACAAAAGCGCGAGGGGGCATCCAACGGGTAAAGAAGCGCAATAGGTGCGGACAGACCTGACTTGCACGCCGTATGGGCGAACATTTTCTCAGAATTTATGCCGCTTGATAAGCAGCCGTCGCAGCGGCACAGGCTCCGTGATAGCCTTAATGCACCCCGATTTTGCTTTTTATGTAGGCAGAGCCTCTCTTGCAGTTATTGATCCTACGAGAAACTATAGATATGCGAGACGTATAAATTTCAATCACGCAGCCATTTATTTAGCCTCTTGTTGAAAAGTAAACATGTTTTTCCCCGAAAAACGGGTGGCAACGAGTTGTTGGCACTTTCTTAACAGCCACGAACGGCAAACGTTAACGTTTCCAACTGTTTCATTGTTATAAATTGAATCCTAACGTTCTCAGATATTGTACTGTTATTGTAAGCAAAACAAAAAAAACAAAAAAAAAACGAGGTTAATTGCCTAATATGTTTTGGCGTTTTGAGCGGTCTTATAGGCTAATCTAACTAGTATCATTAGGGAGTTTTAGGAAACCGTATTTGTACGTCCGATAGTGTACTGTGGGGGACCCGCGGGGGCCCATTTTTTATTCTATTTTATTTTCTCTTTTAGCTCGCAGCACCATCGCCATGCTTAAACGCTGATTGGTCGCGAGCGCGCGTGATTAAAGACATTCCGTCCGAGACATCGGAGTCGCTTGACGTGTTTTCTCCACGTGTACAATGGACCTTTTCCGAGAAGCGTTCTGCGCACGCGCGAGCGCCCGATGCCAAGCGGCGGAAGTAGGAACGAAAAATGGAGGAAATTCGGAAGGAGGCTGTATATCAGCGAGTAGAACACGTAATTGCAGCATATATATAATTGTGTTACACAAAAAAAGAACGTCGACGGAAAGCAAAACACGACGTTTGGGTGGACGCCTTGGATGCCCCTCTTTAAAGTCGCGTTGGGCAGGCGCCGCTGCTCAGAGAGGGAAGAAACTGGTAGCGTAGCTCTCATTATCGATTGGTAGCGCAGGCAGGTCACTTCCTCGATTTTTAGTTCGTGCAGCCACCGCCTGGTGCCGTCGGTATGTGGAAAAGGTCCATTGGTCCTCCGGTACGAACTGGGAATGTGTGAGTCCTCTGCGGGGGCACATGCGCAGCTCGTACTGGAGGGCCCATCGTACGTATCCTATGCGTGAAAAGGGTTCCCGAAAGCCATCTATTAGCTTCGCAGCAATAATTCTGTGCTCAGGATTCGTCACGCCCTGTGTTTCTTCAACTGTCAGCGACTACAAGGAGCGCAAGTTCGTCTGCCTCTTGCGCATGGATTGCGGAGATGTCAAAACGCCGTCCTCTGATTGGATTTGATTGGCAGCATAGTGGGTAGACCTCGAGGCAGATGGCACTGAAGTTTACCCAATGTCATTCCAATCAGTGCCAATCTGAACTCTGCATTTAGACGTCACCGGAACCCATGCGCAAGAGGAGGACGAACTTGCCCTCAGCATATAGTGTCACATTATGGGTAGCAATGTGAATCGGCGCCCGTTAGCTACAATGGCCAATTATTATTTCATATCTGGCCAGCCGTGTAGATAACCGACGAAATTTGTGAGTCATTAGATAAACGCTTAGGTAAAACGGAAAGTCCCAACATCTTCATCGATAACTCGGGAACCTCGAGTTTGACTGTTTGCAATTTCGTTTGCTGTTTCGTCGGTAATGTTGGACTGTTTTATTTAAATTAGTTTTGCAAGATGTAAGATCGTCTGCCCACCGGCAGTGGTGGGCAGACGATCTCTGTATGCCTTGTTCTGAGAGCGAACTTACAAAAAATGTTGAGATTTCTCAACTGGCTCCACCATTTGCGATACAGCATGGGCATGGGGAAACGTTTGGGTTACGTAAGAGGCAATGATTTGTTTGGCCTAGAAGAAAAGTCTGTCTCAAACACGGAAGCCTGTGAACGATTTCCCCTTGAAAACAAGTCACGGTGGACGTAGTTGAGTACTATATACTTCTGTACTCAAATTTGTCCTGCCCTTTCGGACGATAGCTTGCCGTAGTAAGCATCAGCCTTGATTCGTGCCGCGACGCATGTAGTAGAGACATGACCCAAACAGACCGCCTTCTTCTCGCAGGGTTTAATGCAGGACATCGCAATCATCAAGTTGAAGAGCAAGGTGAATACGACGACGACCATACAGCCAGTGTGCTTGCCCGAAAACAACGAAGAACTTTCCAGAACATCAAAGGTGTTCGTTCTCGGTTGGGGAGCAACAGAACGTAAGACCACTCAAGAATATCTCGACACTTTCATTTAAAAACAGACACTCTAAGAAATTCTCGTACGTCTGCCCCTGCCACACCCCCCCCCCCCTCCTCCCCTTCCATTTACAGAGCACTTCGAGAGCTGATCACTACGTTTGAAAAAACTAGATATCGCCGGTTTCTTTTTTTTTTTTTTACATTTTAAGGGCAGTGAAATTCAATCTATATATAGGGCCTTAATGCGATCATTCTTTCACAGACATAGCGAGGAAGTGACTGCAGGGCACATTAAGAGGCTTTTGTTAATATTCAATGTCGTCAGAGTAGGGTAAAAATCATTATTTCTTTTCAAATGTCCGGTAAAGCAGATATATTGTCATGAATGAGAATTGATGAGGCGACGAAAACTGAATCCAACGAAAGCTCTAATGGGCTAACTTGTGCCCAAAACAAAGAGGAAATAGAAGATAATAATAGAGCGTCACGGGTGTCGATAACGGCGTAACAGCAGAATCGAACGGGGCGAGACTGACTCCGGCTCGTCACGGGGAGCACCTTTTGTAGCGGCGTGGGTTTCTGGAACATTCAGCCTAGAACGTTCGGCGCGTAGGACATTCGTAACTCGATGAGGCGAGAAAGTTCTCGAACTTGCGAGAACGACAAGTAGAAAGAGTAAATAAAAGACCATTCCGCTACTTGGAATCGTACGCATATCTTCCGTGCGACAGTCGAGCGCGATAACGATTCGGCCACGCACGCTCTCGCTCGGCGACGCGCGTTGCATTACTCCCCCCTTTATAAAAAGCATCGTCCCGATGCAACTTGACGGGAAATAAATCAGAAGAACAAACCAAAATAATGGCAAAGTACGCAGGCTTGTAAAACACAATCCTATCGAGCGTAGTACGGCTTGAGGCGCACGACGTGGACGACTTCTGGTCTTGGAGGGCGACGAGATGAAGTTCATGCTCCGTCTGGCATCCCTTCGAAGTTCAAATTCGCAAGTCGACGACGCACTTTGTATGGTCTGAAGTAGCGCCGGCCTCGTTTGTTGATACTGGGTATATTGCATCTTTCTTTAGATCCAGTCGTATTTGCTATTTTCAGCTTCATCCTTCAATGCGATGATTCTATGGCTTGTAGTAGCCGGTTGTCTCTATGTTTAACAGAATTGTACGCTAGGAAGGCTTTCATTCAGTGTAGGGATATGCGTACTCGATATTCCCAGGTTTATGCTATATGCTGTAAGGACATCCCTTCGTTAGCATACCTTATAGTCAGGCTCGTAGGCTTGTATATGTTCAAACAACGACAATTTTAAAACAAACACGGATCCATTACTGCAAGTCCTGAAAGAACAGAAATAAACAGAAAAGATCATAGACGATGCGATCAATAAGGTAGAGGCCTTTGATCGGGGCCTCTTGTTGAGTGAGCGGAGCCCTCGAACAGAGGAGTGTCGGGCGAACCTCGGACTAACTTCAAACAAAAAGCCTCCGAACGTTACACCCATATTTAGAAAACATTTTAACATTTTACAACAAAGTGAACGACTAGCAAGGATTATCTCTTCCGTTCCCCGAGTAGTCTACAGATGCCTACGCAATCTTATAACGACGCCATAGTTAGGTCTAATACAACTTACACTGAAAGCACTGGCAGTTGCTCGCACTTGTGGAAGAACCAATTCCGAGGTGTGTCAACACGTGACACCTAAAACCACAGTAGAGAGTTCGAATTCTAATTTCACCTACCTAATTCACGGAAACTTAAACTGCGGCACAAGTAATGTGATATACCTCCTCACATATGGCACCTGCGGTAAGCAGTACGTGGGCCAAACCAGCACACCTTTCCGATTGAGGTTTAACAATAACTGGACGCATGTAAATTCGTTTCCAAAACTCCCCCTTTCAAAACATATGGCCTTACCTAAACACACATTTTACAAACTGGACGTTACATTTTTACAATCCCATTTCAAAAGCAACCGTGATCGCGAGCAGAGAGAATCGAACCTGATTTACAAATTTAATTCAATCCGGGCCGGTATTAATGAAGATCCCGGTATAATGTCATCTATGCATGCAATTTACCTTGATCGCCCTGTAGCGGAGTGACTATAGCTAATTCAATCCCATTAGTACACGCCTTGAATATTTCCGTGTACATTTCTGTATTACCTGTCAATGAGTCAACGGGTCATGACCTTCAACAGGCATTTCCCACCTGTTGCTCTTTTTTGAATGTTCTGGGACTATGGTTAACACTGTTAAATTTGCGTGTTTCTTTTGTTGTTGTTTTTTTTGTTTGTTTGTTTGTAATGCAGGGAATTTGCTTATGCGCTCCGGCCGAGCGTTTGCTTGCTTACTGTGTGCGCTTTTTTCAATATTTTTTTTTTTTCGCAGGATGGTTGTCTATGCGCGTAGGCGTTGATTTACTGTATGCGCTTCTTTCATTATTTTTTGTTTACTGCGCCTTGTTTGGCTTTACATCCTTCCGCGGCGTGCGTTGCTGTCCATCTGGGCCTATCCAACTATTTGAATGTGACTGCGCCTTCCGGACGTGATGGCACTCCGTTCCTGGGGTCACGAAAACTGACGCGGTCTTTGGTTGGCTCCGATGGCTGGCGGCGTCTGCTGCGGCCGGGCGTGGAGTGGGACGGAGCTTCGCAGCGTTTTTTACTTGGCCATTTTTACACATGATGTGACACGTGACGCGACCCGGGTGTGCAAACCAAAAACAACTCTGTAAGCGATTTTGGCCACCAGTCTTGAAGAAGGCCTGTCTCAGGCCGAAACGTCGACTCACTAAGTGCTTTAAAACTCCAGCAACGTTTCGAAGTGCAACTTCATTACTATTTATATATATATATATATATATATATATATATATATATATATATATATATATATATATATATATATATATATATATATATATAGTTGCACGAGTATTTTGATCACTGTGATTTGCATACCATTTAAACAGAGCTGGGCAGTGTTTGAGACTGCTGTTCTTGCTCTCTTTCATCGTTGGTTTTCTCCTAGTCTCAGAGCTATAGTTTCTTAAGTTTAATAACAATTATTTTGAAGAAGTAAGCACCGGTTTTTTATGCACCACTTCTTAGAAATATTGCGACCTGTTAAACCCATTTTTGATATAATTTCAGCTTTATTTTTAGCACCTAACGATCTGATGGGAACTGGGCATTCAACAAAGAAAAATCGTGATTAATTATTTTCACATTGAATGACATCCACGTTTTTAATATATTTTTATTGAAGAGGCATAATGCTTCTAAAAACAAGACTAAAAACACGCATTTTGGTTTGAATCTTACCTAGGGAAGAATGTGTGTGTATGTGTGTTTATATTTTGTGACTGCAGCTGTTCTCAAAAGCGAACGTTTGGACATACTCTAATTCCTCACGCGCTCCTTATGTGCTCCTTATACGATTACGAATACCCAGCCATATTTAGTTTATTGCAACCAATATTATAGCAACAGAATATTGTAGTGTAAGAGAGCATAAATATCCGTTTTCGCTATAAAAATGTAAAGCAGGTATGAGAAATGCTAAGGGCAACGTCACAAGCAAAACCTTAAAAAAACACTTGTAAAGACTTTCATGTATTAGGTAATATAAAGTTTCTGCATTTGGGGACTTTATGTAGGCGACGTACACATACCTAAGAGAGAACAGAATAAGGATACCTGAACGAACCAACAGAACAACAGGTGCCCTTTCAAGATAAGGCGGTCGACTTTTTGTACACGGTATATCACTTGTAATTATTTGTATTTATATAAATTTCAACGTGCATTTTTTTCCTACTCTTTTTCAAACAGGCAGCCAAGGTTCAGCAGAATTGAAACAAACTAGGGTGCAGTACTTGTCAAACCGAGATTGCAGAGCAAGAGGAGTAAGAGTAATTTCACAAATATTCTGTGGAGGTCATATCCATGGCAGCGCCTGCAGGGTGAGTCTGCGAATGCTTCAAGCCTCTGAGGTCACTGAACTCTAAAAATGCCTTTACATTTCTACCTCCTCGACTCAACAAGTACAAGAAGTTTCTTAGAAAATAATCTCGAAGAAAGTGCGGCTAGATATTACGTTGTAAATGGAGGAATTAAAGCAGTTAATGAAGTTGATCAAAAGAGGTGGCGGTACGACTATTGTTAGTCAATAGCAGTGTTTTCGGCGTTACGAAATAAAGTAACAAAATACGCTACATTTTACTTCCAAATAAAAGAAACGCGTTGGCGTCCTACCTTACCTCAAAGTAAATGGAACGATTTACCGTTAAAAAGTAATGAAGGTTACTTTTGCGTTATTTTTCTAATTGTTAATCAACACGTTTAACTCCTTTGACGTAACAGGTATGCATAGCCGTAAACGCTAGAAACTCCAAGCTCTATAAGGCTTGGCGCCAAGAAACGCAAACCAAAATAGACCCTTTCCGGAATTCAGTGCCATCTGTTGACTGAATCGGCAGTTTTAGCTATACTAATGGCGGCAATGAACCTGTGGTCTTCAGTATTTTTGGGGCACCGTCGCTTCTGAAGGTCAACGGTAAACGAGAATGTGCACTTTACTACAGTTATTTCTCAATCTCTTTTAGCGTCGATGGCGAAACAAATGCAGCCAGTCGGAACGAAGCGCCAATTCACATAGACGCCTTGATAGAGTTTATACATCAAGGCGCTTTGAAACTCAGTAAGTGCTACTAACAGATTGACTAGTACCGAGTTAGAAATAAACGCTTACGCAGCTCTTGCATCCAATTCCTGCTTCACATCGCGCTAACATCTAGAATGTATAGGCATCGAATCATCTGCTTAGGAGTATCTTCAACTTCTTCCTTCATCAGTAAACAGAAGGCCGCCATTAGTATAGCACATATGCCTTTTTCAGGTGATGATAATAGTGATCAAAGTGGCTAGACTGAATTCCGGAAAGGGTCTATTGAAGTTAATGTTTTTTTAAGAAAATGTACCAAGTAACGCAACTGCGTTACACGTTACGTTAATAAGTAAGGCAAGTACCCTTACTCTTTCAGGGATGTAATGAGTACGCTAGAACGTCATCGAAACAAGTTACGGTAACCGGTGGCACCGTGACTACTAACGCTTTATCGCCAACACTGGCGTAAAGCATTGAGGTAGCAATTTGGGAAGTTAGTGCATTATCAACTAAAAAAGCGCCAAAAAACAAAAAGACGAGGAAATAGGCACACCATAACGCACTCGCAACTGTTTTTTATTTGTGAAACTAATCAAATAAACATATTTAAGCTCACACATAATCTCTTCTAAATTCTGTGTAGCCCCCAAACAAAGAGGAAGACTCATTCACCGATAGGGAAAGGGACGTATCGCTTATGCATTTTTCGCACTTTGCCTGGATTTCTTAGGCCTCATTCAGCTCTTTACAAACCCTAGCCGAGTATGTATCCAGAAATCTGGTGTCATCAAATGACGGGGCACATCGGCAACAACTGCGGTGACTCGCAAGATGTCCCGATCGAGTAGCTTTCGTCGCCGCGGCGAGATCACGTTCACGATCATTGAAGCACCTTCCCTTTTGGCCGATATAAGACGAGCCGCATGATGGAATTTTGTAGACAACACCTGTAGTGCACTTTGCGTATTTTGTGCGGTGCCTTGTATCACTCAGATATTTCAATACTATTGGTTTGATGATCATACGGCATAGCCGCCCCAGCTTGTTGAGAGTAGTAAACACCACAGGCACCTCGTAGCGCGAGGCAACTTTCTTAATATTATGCCTGACTTAGTGCATATACGGGATTAACACCGGCCTCGTCGTATTCTGTCGCGGGGCTTGACTCTGTAATCCTTTAATCTTCTTTTTTACCAGCCTTTCTGCCACCTCGACCAGAGTACCCTGGGGCGAACCTTAAGCCTTAAGCCTCGACACCTGTTTATCAAAACTTTCTTGTGCACCATGCCTGTAGGATATTGTAAGGGCCGCCTCTCACATATAGAGGCAATGCTTCTTTTCACAACTTTGCAATGAGGAGTGTGTGGTGTACCAGTAATTTTGGGGTAATGCAGGATATATATTTATTTAACTGATAGATTACATTCGGTTGACAACGTCTTCTTCGGTCTGCGACCGCGCCCAGTCTGTTCTTTCGCGCAGGCGTCACGTTCTTCACCGGGGCTCGCTCTCCCTCGCCGGCGTCTCCGGTTGCACCAGCCCGCGCGCCGTTGCCTGGACCAAAGGTCGTGTTCGCTGTGCGTGGCGAACACGCACACAATACACCGCACGCATACAATACACGGCAATATCTCCCCCTTAAAAAAAAAATCACTTTTTCACAGGCCCAGCCGCGTTGGTGGCCGGCGCGTCCGCGTTGATCTTCTGAGAAGAGGAGGGCTGCCCTCCGTGCTCTGGCCACGTGTGCCATTAAGCGGTCTGGCTGGCGAGCTTGGAGTGCCTGCCTCCGGCGTTGCAGGATCGTTCTGCGCGGTTGGAAAGTCGTCACTGGAAATCGAAGACGATGAACCGTTTCGCTGGCTGATGCCGCGGGGAGGGGCGAACTTTTTCGATGTTTTTGCGCCCTTGAGGCTATCGTCTTGATTCGGAGATATTCCCTCCTCCTCCTTGGGTACATGTCGCAGCTGTTCAATGTGCCGTTTCCAGGTATTTCCGTCGTTCGTGCGAATCTCATATGTTCGATTTCCCAGAACTCGTACGACGACTCCTTTCGACCATTTCTTGCCATTCCTGTAGTCTCTTGCCCAGACTTGGTCGTTCAGATGTAAGTGTCGTTCTTTCGAGCTGCGCGAGGCGTGCTGCTTCGCCTGTATTGATCGTACGACATCCGTTATTGATGGTCTAAGAAGATCGAACCTTGTGCGAAATTCGTCTCCTGTCATCATTTTGGCAGGAGTTGAGCCAGTTGTCGTGTGCGGGGTTGTCCGGTATGCCACCAAGAAGTTATGGCATGCCTCTTCCATGGTCAGCCCCGACTTCAGGCTTGCGTTGACAGACTTCTTGAATGTTCCCACGAAGTTTTCTGCCGCACCGTTTGTTGCGGGATGGTTCGGGGGTGAGAATGACTGCTGCACTCCGTTTCTTGTCATGAAATCCCGGAATTCGCTTGATCGGAATTGCGGCCCATTGTCTGTCACAATCCTTTCTGGCAGTCCATATCTTGCAAAGAGAGTTAGAAACACTTTTATAATGGCTGCCGAAGTCGTCGAGGTCATGGGTACTACTTCGGGCCATTTTGAATATGCATCACTGATCAGCAAGAAATTCCTTCCTTGAAAGGGTCCTGCGAAGTCTGCATGCAGGCGTTGCCATTTTTTTTGGGGGGTATTCCCACGGACGTATGGGAACCTTGGGTGCCTCGTTGCTCACTTCCTGGCACGGCCGACAACTACGGACCATTGTTTCGATGTCATGATCCAAAAGCGGCCACCACACGTAGTGTCGTGCCAGTCCCTTCATCTTTGTCATTCCCGCATGACCTTGATGCAAGTCGTTCAAAACGTGTTTTCGGTACCTCGAGGGTACGACGACGCGTGTTCCCCACATTAAGCAGTCGAGCTCCACGGTTAGTTCTGTTCTGCGATGGAAGTAAGGCTTGAGGTCTTCGGAATTCACTTGTTCCGGCCATCCATCCATGGTGAGTCTTAAAACTTTAGACAACACAGTGTCCTTTTGTGTCTCTCTGCTGATCTGCTTATGTGTCAGCGGTAGTGCTTGAAACTTTTCTAGATGGAGACATTTGATTTCGTCCATTCTTGTAGTTTCTGATTTTATAGTGCCCTTGTCAGTCATTGGGAGTCTCGACAGCGTGTCTGCGACTACGTTCTTATCAGTCGACACGTACTTTATGTCGAAGTCATACCCTGACAAGATGATTGCCCATCGCTGCATTCTTGCTGCGACCGTGCCTGGGATTCCCTTTCTGGGATTGAAAATCGATACCAGGGGTTTGTGGTCCGTCCACAGCGTGAAGTGGCGTCCAAACAAATACTGGTGAAATTTCTTTACGCCCTCAACTAGACTCAACGCTTCTTTGTCAATCTGAGAGTAGTTTCGCTCACCTTTAGAAAGCGTTCTTGACATGAAGGCGATCGGCCTCCGTTGCTTGTTGGGTAGTATGTGTTGAAGTACTGCACCAATGCCATGGCTCGATGCGTCACAGTGCAGTTCCAGAGGAAGCGCACGGTCATAATGCACTAGCAGACTCTGCTTGGTGAGTTGCTTCTTCGCTTCGTTGAAGGCTCTCTGGCACGATCTCGACCACTCCCACCTTTTATCTTTTCGCAGCAGTTCATGTAATGGATGTAGGATGTTGGCTGCGTTGCTGATGAACTTCCCGTAGTAATTCAGGAGTCCTAAAAATGCTCTAAGTTCTTTTTGGTCTTTGGGCGTCTTCGCTTGTAGGATCGCATCCACCTTCTTAGGATTTGGGTGGATTCCTTGTTTGTCTACAACATGTCCAAGGTACTCGATGGAGTCCTGCATGAAGCAGCCTTTTTCTTTTCCCAAGCGAAGGCCACTTTCCTTGAGTTTTTGCAGTACGATGTGCAGGTTCCGCAGGTGATGTTGATCGTTCTTGCCAGTTACCACGATGTCATCCTGAAATGCACCTGTGTACGGCAACTTTCCAACGAGTTCTTCTATGACGCGTTGGAAGATAGCTGATGCTGGAGTTATTCCAAATGGCACTCTGTTCACCTGATAGAGCCCTTTGTGTGTGTTGATCACAGTGAGGTCTCTGGATTCTTCCGCTAAGGGGATCTGGAAGTAGGCTTGTTTACAGTCCAGCTTGGTGAACTTCTCCCCATGAGCAATCTTCACAAAGAGGTCTTCAGTCTTTGGTAGTGGGTACCTATCCGGCTTCAAGGCTGGGTTGAGTGTAACCTTGTAATCCCCGCATATGCGCACTTGTCCGTTTTCCTTCATCACTGGAACAATTGGAGTCGCCCACTGACTCCTCATCACGGGAGTGATTATGTGCTCTTTCTCAAGACGATCCAGCTCTTCTCCGATCTTTTCTCGGAGGGCGTGTGGAACTGACCTTGGTCTGAGAAACTTTGGTTGAGCATCATCATTCACGCAGAGTTTCACAGCGTAGTCCTTCAGTTCTCCCGGACCTTCAAAGATGGAACTGTGTTTCTGTAGCACACCTGCGAGAGTTAAGATTTCTGCACGCACGTTGTGCACTTCCTTCCAGTTCACGTGAAACTCCTGAAGCCATGCTCTTCCCAGTATGGGAGGTCCCCCATTCTTCACCACTTGGATTGCATGACGCTTGACTTGCCCGTTGTACCGCATCTCCACTTGAACCATTCCCTCAGGAACGATGGGCTTGCCGGTGTACGGCTTCAGCGTTATTCCCGAAGGTTTCAACTGGATGTTTGGAAGAATTTCTTGAAACGTCTCCAGGTTGATCACAGTCACGGGTGAGCCTGTGTCAATCTCCATCTGAAGAGGTTTGTTGCAAATCTCCACAGTTACTGTGATGGGTTTCGGGTAGCTTGAGTCGATGAAATAAAACGGAGTTTCGTCTCCCAAGTTCTGTGTAGTGACATGGTTGGTGAAGTTTGGCTTGTCCTTTTTTTTTGAGTCTTGTGGATCTCGTTTCCTGTTGCGACAGACCAATTGGAAGTGTCCTGTTCTTCCGCATTGTTTACAAGTCTTGTTCCTTGCAAAGCAGTTTTCAGGGTCGTGATTGGTTTTGCCGCAGCGATGACATGGGGTCCTGCTTGTGCGAGATTTTTCTTTTTCTTCGCTGGCCTTTTTCGGAAGTGACGTCTTGTGTTTCCGCCCTTCCACCAAGCGATTGACATCTTGTTGGATTTCGGTCTCGCTCCTTATTTCCTTCGCATCCTTCATGGCTATCTCCATCGAAGTGGCAAGATCCACCGCTGCCTTGAATGTCAGCGTCGGTTCAGCCAGCAGCTTTTCGAGAATGTTTCCGTCCTTGATGCCGTCAATGAGCTTGTCTCGAAGGCGGTCGTTGAGGGAAACACCGAAGTTGCATTGCAGTGAAAGCTGTTTGAGCGCAGCTACGTAGTCTGCGATGGTTTCGGATTCCAGCTGCTTCCGGTGATGAAATTTGTAGCGTTCGACCGTTTCATTGGGCGTCGGGTCGATGTGGTTCTGCACTAGTTGAACGATCTGTACGTACGTCTTGGTGCTTGGTTTAGCAGGTGCTGCCAAGTTCCGTATCAGTCCGTACATTTCTCGTCCACCGATAGAGAGAAGAACATCGGCTCGCTTTGATTCTGGAATGTCGTTCGCAGAGAAGAACACTTCGATGCTTTCGATGTACGAAGACCATGATTCCGATTTCTGATCGAATTGTTCAATTTTCCCGATGCGAGGCATTCTTTAGGTTTGAGATGGGGCGTCACTCACGTTACCGCTGTCTTCTTTGTTCCGATGTCGCTCAGTTGTTTATATCCGTCTTTGTTGCATAGATCCCATTCTCGTCGCCATTGTAGTGTACCAGTAATTTTGGGGTAATGCAGGATATATATTTATTTAACTGATAGATTACATTCGGTTGACAACGTCTTCTTCGGTCTGCGACCGCGCCCAGTCTGTTCTTTCGCGCAGGCGTCACGTTCTTCACCGGGGCTCGCTCTCCCTCGCCGGCGTCTCCGGTTGCACCAGCCCGCGCGCCGTTGCCTGGACCAAAGGTCGTGTTCGCTGTGCGTGGCGAACACGCACACAATACACCGCACGCATACAATACACGGCAGAGTGCTTTACGGGGGAATCGCCCTTTCTGACTTTGGCCGGTATGTCCAGCAAATTTGGTCTTCTGGAGACTTTACCGAAGGTCCAGGAACTGCAACTGTCCTGGACCTTCCAGCAGGAAACTGCAACTGGACATGTTCTTTATGGCAAAAACCTAAAAAGTAAGGGTCCCCTTCTGGGTTATTCTTACCTAAAAGAGTTTATGGCTGTATCGCGTTGCCTTTCATATGCAAACATTTGACAGCCCTCTATTTGCGAGACCCGTGTAGGGTGCAAAATTCCGAATCAATAATTGAATATTTAAGAAGGGGTGCGCAGGGAATGCGAGGTAATTTCTCAGTCGACATCGAGGACATTTGCTATTGAGTTCCTCACGACCCCCTGTTTTGTGTGTGTAAGAGTGCACAACTCTATTTCTTGCTGCCAACTGTTTTTCACTGATATTGCAGCGTGTCTGGCGAAGTTCGCAAGTAACGTAGCTGCTATTTATGGAATGATGTTTCAACCCAGTTCTGCCCGTTCATTTTGTCTGTTTTTCAAAGCTTCAAACTTCTGGAAAGTTTCAAGCCATTATCGGCTGTCCTCTTTTATTCTGGTTCAAACCATCCTTGAACAAATCACGCGAGATTGCAAAATGATTTGCTGCTTCGGAGACTAGTTCTTTCCTCGCAGTTGCACAATGTACGGTTCCTTTTTGCTTAAACTTTTAATCACACGTCCGCCTCATGAAACGTTTATTTTCAGTAGGACATTCCTCTATTATTTTTCATCTGTGACAATATAAATATAACATGCGTCCAGAACGCCATTTATTGGCTCGAAGATATTAAGCTCAGATCTAAGTCGGCTAGCTCAATGAGGAATTTGCGTCTTTTCCTTGTACATCTTGGTCTCGGTAACGTTCGCGTTTCGTCACTACCGCTAGCGTCATATTCAAACGAACTTGCAGCATTCTGCGACACGTAGTTTATTTACACAGGTTGAAACACGCGGTTCCTTCTTCTAGGAAACAGCTGCTAAGGCTCTTTACTCGTATAACAAAAGCTTGCACATAAGAAAAAAAAAAGGAATTGATTTGTGGCCTTTTTGTTTGTTTCAGGGCGACAGTGGTGGACCTGTTGTGCACAGAAATGACGGCGTGTGGTCGCAACATGGCATCGTCAGTGGAGGCCCTCTTGGCTGTGGATGGTCCTACGCACCGCAGCTTTTTGTCAAAGTGTCCTCCTACGTTGACAACTTCATTGCACCTTACATAGATCCCAAGACAAGTCGCGAGAAAATTCGGAGTATATGCAGACTAGTTAGTTCGTAAGATGCCGTGAAACATTAAATAGACCGTATTAGTGTACTTTTTTTTGCTTAATGAAAACTTCATCTGTATGCTGATTTATGCAACACCATATATGGGCGATTATGTAGCATACGTGAAACGGTCTACGAAATTGACTTGTTGTGTACGTTACGTGACGTTAACTTTTCTGCTAAACTTAGAAAGGAAACTAAATTGTCCTACAAGCAACATCACATCAGGCTACGTGACGTCAATTTCCCTGCTAAGTTTAGCGGGGAAGCTGAATTAGTGTGTAGGTCACGGGCAGACTTGGTGCTCGTTATTTAAAAAATGAAATGGATCACAATTACAAATTACCGAGCCTCAAATGTAATTGAGGTTGAAAAGTAACAAATTACTTTACTTGTTACATTACAAATTACTTTCATGTTACTTTTTTCGTACACCAATCCAGAAAGCGATAGAAACAATTTTGATTTTATTTTAAAAAAATGTTCTGCAACACTATTTTTCATTTCTTATACGCCCGTATTATGGTAGTTCTTCTAACAATAAAGTATTGCATTAAAAAAACAAGTGTAAGCTCACTTCGTTCACCTGTAAGCTGAGAAGGCACCGAAAGCTGCAACCACAGCCGCCATCCCGGTAGCTTACGGCCTCCGGAAAATATCCCTGGAATTGTGCAGACAAAGCTAGGGGTGCGCAGTTAAGTAGCAGAGTCTACCACCGCTACGAGACTCGGAGCTAGAGAAGCGATCCATGAAAGCTCCCTTTGACTCGAGTTTTTTCCTTGTGATTCGCAGGCAAAGAAAAACTTGGTTCTAGCGTTATAATGTATACCGAATGCAGAATGCTGGCGTCCCAGCTTACCTTGGTGTTTTTCTGTAGATAAGAGTTGGTTGTCCGTGCTGATGACAATGGGTATTTTTTGGCAATAAAAGTATGCACTGACATTATAGGTTTCTGTTCTCCTTAATGCCCTGAATTTTGAACATCTCATTAAGAGACGGCCATAGAGACGAGGGACACTTTAAGCCATAAAACTCGATCAGTAAAAAAAAAAAAAAAGAAATGTGGCGATTACGGGCTGTTGATCGTTCATCGGTCCTCACCTTTATGCCAATATACGTGGAGGGAAGGCAGGACATACAAAGCGAGAGAAGCAGTGGCCATCAGCCTCACAATACCATAGACGATCACACCACTTTTACGCGTTTTCTCTCTCCCCCTGTCAGCACTCCTTAGATGGCCTCCCCCCCCCCCCCCCCCACCCCCTCTATGTTGACGGTTGACTGTAAAGTGAGGAGTGGACTAGACCACCCTGCCCAGACAAGTAAACCGAAAGAAGTATCATCCGTACTCTCAAGGACCATGCTCTTAGCCTCGCGCCGTCCGCTTTTCAGCCGTGCCTATAAAGTGTGCTAAAATAAAGCAACGCAGATTAAGGGCAGCGAGACTTCGACACCCTCGCGCTACGCTACATCGTCTCTGGCGCGAGCTGTGAACCCGCAAATTGAGGGTTAAGGGACTCACGTTTGATGTCTTTGCAGATGTCTGGGAGACGTCAAAGAATTGGGAAAGGGTGAAACAATGTGTAAAGGGACAATGACAGGGTATTTATGCTCGCCGAGGTTTTTAGTTGTACCTGACATATGAGAGCCTAAATACCGAGAACAGAATTTGCGACTTAAAATTCGATTTCTAGCCGGCTCGGTGGCTCCGAGCCGAGAGCCTCGGCCTACGGATTCCCATGTGGCGGGTTCGAATCCCGGCTGAGGTGCCCACAATCTGACAGAGGCTGAATGCGGAGAAGGCGCCGTGTAACCGAGCTAGCGGTTGCACGTCAAAAGATCCCCAGATGGTCGAAATTAATCCTCAGTCCTCCGCCGGGGCGTGCCAGATGCCCGTCGTTGGTTTCGCACGTAAAACCCCCAAATCTGACTTGATTTGAAATTTGGTTTCTTTCCGCCCAAAAACCGCCGATCGAGAACTGGCCGGATTGAGTCGCGCTCACTCTCTTTTCCGTGGTCACGGGCCGTTTTCTGAGGTTTAGGCACGACCCCCAAAATGTATCGAAGTCGAGGGTCATTGAAGGCACACTGTCGACACTAAAAATAGAAAAAAATATGAAACTCATATTTTCTGTCTTCTAAAAAGTTGAAAATACGTTCATTAAACAAACAAACAAAAAAAAAAAAAAGGTTGCACAGGCAACCAGAAGCATTTTGTGCGTTCACTGCATAATTCTCAACATGGCCTCATTTCGCGTTTCGTGGAACTTGCGGGCGCCAGCGGACGACGGGTGTGGGACCTCTACCTCACAAATGTCGTTCTCGATACCGGCGAATTCTGTCTCCCTTCGAAAGAGAAATTTTGGTACAATCAAAGAACTGATATTCATCCCGTACGACACGCCCGACCAGCAAGCTGATTGCATGAAAACCTCGCCGAGCCGTGGTCCCTTCTCGCGGCTGAAGACATCGCTCGCTCAAACATCAAGCAAGAGGCGCGTAGCTCAAGTTGTACACTCACGCGTACCGTTTCTGTGCTAGGTGCGAATGTGGCCGATGCGTGGTGCTGCCCGACTTCAATCCGGGAGTGCAGGTACTGGAGGTAAATCCGGGAAATCGGCAGCAAACTTTGCGACATACAGTCGACCGGCTGCATTACTACGAGCGGAAGTATTCCTTCAGTAGCTGCGTCGCGCTGTCATCGCGCGACGCAGCAGAGGCAGGTTGCACTATCTCTCCGCGGGGCGCGGCGCCGCCAGGGCTGAGATGCGCTCCGATAGCGAACCGAAACTTAAAAACCAGTCGATTTTGTGCGGTTTTTCAGAAAGCCGTAAAATGTTTCGCGTGCCTTCTATCGTTCTGCAATTTGTTGATTTAGTGTTTTTCGATGATGCTGGGCAATTTTCTAATTTAAACCATGCCCTCAAACACAATATTAAAAAGACTTAATTACGCAAAAATAATTAACAACTTAATTATTCTGGACTTTAATAACTTTCCTAAATGGGCTCCTGGCCCAGGACCAAAACACCACAAGCCTTTTTTCGTTGCGATGGGTAGTTTTCGCAGGAGCGATTTGGCCTGCGTTCTCTGAAACATCCTGTATAGTAGCCTGATATATAAAAATGTATATATCCAGAACAAATGCTTACTATTAAACTAGATGCTGAAATGTGTCTTTGTTTTCGTAAATAACAAGTAAATAACAAGTTTTTTTTTTCATGAGGCACGCCTTTTTTGTGATCAATATTATGTGCGTACTGTGATGTCATTAGCATACCTGTATAGTTTTAAACATCCTGTCTTGAATGCCTACGAAAAGCTTAGCAGAAATGGAATGAATAAATAATATTCTTACATTACTGGAATCTTTTTTTTTTTTTTTTTGTGACGCACCACATGCTTTGGAGCGACCCTAAATACCCGCACTGCCTCAGGCTATCACAACTAACTGCATTCGCGATGGGCATATGTCCCGCTGCACAGAATTCCCTCTCTAAAATATTCCCCCATATTTCCTCCCAATCACGCTCCGACAGCTGGAAGGAGTAATCCTCCTCCCCCCCTTCCCCCACCCCCTTTGGCTCTTGAGTAACCCTGTGGCTATTCCTCACCCCACACATTAAGGACGTGCTCGGGAAAGAGTGCTGGCAAAGTCACGGGCTTTACGTTCACCGTCTGACTTTTTCTGGCTCACATTGACAGATCTGAACGATAACTTCTGTTCTGCACCGAATTCAGCGCGTTTGCACATTGAAATTGCGGAGTATACTGACCTGATATTGTCAACAGGCAAAATGCCTCGGGTCAGCATTAGCTCCTCCCTCGTGCGCGGTGCCCGCTCAATGTCCTACACATATTGTAGCCGTAAATCATATTGAATATGACCATATTTGTTTCAGTCGTACTATTAGTCACGAAGCTACACTATCGGAATAAATCCCCCTGTAAACGTTACATATTCGTTTTCACCCTGCATAGTACCCGATGTGTAGATCCTTTTTCAGATCACCCGCACATCCCCTACGAATATATGCAGTGAACTGGCGGATGCGGCTAAAAATAAATCCGTAAGGCGCACTGCTTAGAGAAAATGAGACAGTCGGGTAGAAATTGCTGCTTACGCCAAGAAAAGCCTAATTTTCAAAGTCAAAGTTTAGTGAAACAACTGCCGAGGAATACAGTTGTCATGGGGGTCTCCACAAAATGCATCGACATGCCTGACAAGGGAACTGCTCCCCCCCCCCCCCTTTCCCTTCACGGCCAGACAATCCAGCATGCCCAGACAAAATAAATGCCTGACAGAGGACAAAATCTACTTGATCATGAAAAATCTAACATAAAAAATAGGCAGTAAAAACACTGTATACGAAGACAAAAACCAAGGATATAAATCCAGATTGCCCCCCACGCCGTGACAAAGAACGACGCACATTGATGTTTTTAAGCCTGCAGAAACACATGAAACAATGTGGCTACACGCAACAACATGGTAAAACCACCAAGCCATCTCAACAAAAAAACAATCACGACATCTCCACGTGGTGAATAATGTTAATTGGGGCGAAGCTATGGTGGTGCTGATGATACTGATTTTATTGTTCATAGGTAGTGCTGGTGACGCAGATTTTTTTTTATTGCTCATAGGTTTGCGTTTCGACTTCATTATTACTGCTTTATGGTCAGTGAAATGCAGAGCCAGTGGTTTTTCTAGCGGATCAGCTTGGATCCTCTAGAAGCCGTGGGAACGCCTCTCCACCGCTTAAGTCAACGGTCCATGTCAGAAAGAGAATGTGTGGTATGGAACGTGGTTATATACGCATTTGAGCATTTGACCGCAGCGCCCTCTCGTCTATAAACGTTGAGCCAATGCATGCAAAGTTTAACACGATTATATACGGATTTGACCGCAGCGCCCTCTCCTGTATAGATGTGGAGCGGCTACATGCAATGTTTAATCCATGACAGACAGATGGGATGGCAATCGATGTGAGCAGGGACGCCGGACGGATGGACGAGGCTAGACCCTAAGCAGCTTCGCCCCTAAAAAATTATTTAGGCCTGCAGATAAATGCTGCACAAAAAAGACAGCGCCCGTGCATGAATAAATCGCTTTAAAACTTTATTTTTTGCCAAATATGTTGTCCCTAGAAAAAGTAAAAAAATGCCAGTTCCTCAATTGTCTCAATATCATCTGTTGGGCTAGTTGGTTAGACATGATCAGATAAAAT